TCACAAAGCTTCGTCTGCTGGGAAGAACAGCTTAAAGAGCCTTGTGAAGCGTATCATGAGCTCAATCTTCACTCATGAGCTGGGTTTGCATTTTAGCAGTACTGGCAGCTGGGACAACTCAGCAAACACATAATGCTGTGACAAAAATCGTTGAAGGCCGCACCAAAGTTGTGACTAAAACATTTTGAATTAATATTTTTATTACAACATAGATGGCTTGTTTAATTAATGTTATCTAATTGTTATTGCGAAATATTTGAAACAGGTTTTAGAATTACCGCTAATGGGTCACTTGGGAGACATTCCCACAGGAACGTGCTCAAAATTTTTCCAACTTTACTGTCCCATAATTTAATATTCCCCAATCTGATCTGAACCAAACTTTGTATGTTTTCATTTTTAATAGGCCCTAAACTATCGTCTCTCAAAATAAGGACAGTCAAATTCGGCCTCCTTCTGGTAGTTTGAAAATGGGGAAGCACTGAAATGTCTCCCTAAAGCCAATGTCTCCCTAATGCTTAAAAATTTACCACAAAATGTCTCCCAAATGACTTATTTGAAAATATTATAGCGAAAACAAATGTTGTTAAAGTTATATGTCCATTATCTTATTTATAGAAGTCATCGCATTTGTACCCTTATGTTTTGAGAAAGTTAGCTTCATGTGTTTTTATAGAAATGCTTAAGACGTTTTAATTAGCAAGATGTTGAAGCATGAAAATGACGTGGTAACGGCAATATTGTCATTTTATTTTTAAATGACGGTATAGTGATATAGCCTTACAAACATTTTCATGACATCTTTGTGATTTTTAACGAAAAGTATGGGCATTGTTTTCGACATTGGTAAGAAGTTTTGCCAACAATATCCCTTAATATCATTAAAATGTCATTAAAATGTCTCTAAGACCATGTCACGATAACATTTTTGTAGACTATTATGAACACATTAGGCATAACATGTCTATCACATTTTAAAAACACAAATGTATTTGCTGGGAAGCAGGCCTGGGAGGACTTCCTAATGATTGTTAAGATTATAAAGATGAAGAGTTTTGGTGCCAATTTGCAACATGTTAATATACAAATGACACTTGAAGTCCTTTTTTTTGTTTCCATGTTGTGTAGTTTGTGGTTCTTAAGCTTGCATTTTCATTGGTGAATTCGGGAGAGCCCATTATACAGGATAAAGGGGGAATTATGGGAGGATCCATTAATAATCAGAGGATACACAAGGCTAAGAGACCGAAGAAAAAAGGAGGGGAGCAGAAATGGAAGAAAAAACTTCTTCCCATTTTTACATCATCCTCATAGCTTCCACTTAAAGCACCTTTTTTCTTGTTTTGTGTAGAAAGCATTCGAAAGACACCGAGGATCATGCATCCGTCTTGGACGGATCCATCGACTCAGCCATCAGTGACTGCATGGATTAGCTGATCGAGGGACTGTTAAGGGGGGCAAAGCGGAACCAAGCTGCATCGGCTGGCATCCCACAACATTGGAGAACGAGAATGATAATGATATGAATTTAATTAGTTCCTCTTTGTTTTCCTCCTGCGTTTCTTATTTACTAATATGCAATGTTGCAGTTATAACCGGGCACGTGCAGGCCATTCGGGGTCTCAGGTCACGTGATATAAACATCATAGTTAGGCATGGCAACGTATGCTTTGTAATCAGGTTTGGGAATTGACGGTGACTGCGTTTTAGTCGAAACCAATCGTCTCTCTGCTAGTCTGTTTGCCTGTTCACGTTGAAAATCTTTTCAGGTGAAAGTTCCCAGCAAACAATTTCACGTTTGAGAACGTTTTGTGAAAGAACTTCTTTCGTTTTTACAACGTTGTAAATAAACGTTTTTAGGATGGCTTAATGTGGACACATTTGGCCGTTTGAAGCACGATAACTTCCCACGTTTTACGAATTTTCCTCCTACAATTTTTCTCCTGACGACCTATTGGACGTTCAACAAACCAACTTACATGAAGTCAAACTGTTTATAAACGTTAAAAATGTTTAAACGATGAAGTTCTTAGGTTCTATTTTTATTTGTAACCTCCTTTCCGCTGTCATGGACGTTTTGTTACGTATTTGTGACGTTACATTTTGAGGACGTTCGGGACAGGCATTTTGGACGTTACAACCAAGTCGCATGCTACTAACGTTTTGTAAACGTTAAAAAGGTACGTGGTGGTAACGTTTTTTTATTTTATTTATAACCAACTTCTTACTACCATTAACGTTTTAGTACATACCAGAAACAGTCATTGAACGTTTTGTAAATGAGGCTAGACCTTGGCAATTAGCCGTAGAAGAGCCACGTTTTTATAAAGTAAGCACAAAAGCATAAATTTCATACCCTAAATAATTCAATCCATGAAATTCTTATACATGTAATTAATGCAAAAAGTGATTGAGTGATTTGCAAGAATTGACAGGGAAATGAGGCTTTATCACTTCGCTTGATTTAAGCGCTTGTATTTGTTCTGGGTGGCAAAACAAATTGTAATTTTGAAATTACAATTAAACTAGAGTGGAGTTTATATACAATTGTAAAGCTTGCCCTTCAATTTTGCTGGGCTTCTGCACTTTGTATAATAGGTAAATATGGTCCGACTTGGTAAAGAGCCTACACAAATCTATATACATGTACAACATTAACATTTAAACTATGAGGAGACAACGTGCATTCTTATTGAAATCATACACTAAAACATAACATAACTGGCAAGCGGGCGGACGGACAGGGCGGCTTAGCGTAGCGGTTCTTTCCTCGCTTTGTACGAATGAGGCCCGGGTTCGAGTCGCAGCTTGGCCCAGGCTTTAAGTGCATTTGGTTTCCAGTCCACACTCGCTCTCGCGGGCTTTCTCCGGGTACTCCGGTTTCCTCCTGCCTCTAAAACTGGACCTCCGTCCTAACTCCGTAATGTGATGCTGATTAATTAATAGGGTGTATGAATTTGCGCAAATAGCCTGAGTTGCTGAAAGCGCCATCAAAACAAAACAACAACAATAACAGTCAGCATCGATCATTCCGAGCGGGCAGCTTTGGGGGTAACAACTCCTTGACCGTTCGTGAGTGTAAAGCTCTGCCATGAATAACCTATCTATCACTCCCGAATAAATAGCTCAGATTTGGACGAGCAGTACTCTGATTATTGTCCAATGATAATACAGTAATATCCAGCCTTACTAGCAGCAGTTGCTCGTTGTAAATATGGAGACGATGTATATAACTCTTCGGAATAAAACAGTAGTGTGTGTGGCTTAGTCAATCCAATGACTCTCTTTCTTTATGCTAACGGCTCCCTACCCTAAGAGACACGTTACACTATCAAGCCTTTTTCCTGTCCAATTACGAAATGCTCGTCTCTATTGCCAAAGGCTCTCCAACATGTCCCAGCTTTCAGCATGATGTGCCAGGCTACTCCATTGTGTTTATGGCTCCCTGATATTGAGAACAAACCCCAAACTTGTGTCAAACTTGTGCTGAGTTGACCTTGCACACATGTACACCTGCTCATAATGCTGGAACATTTATACCCTGTGGCCACAAACTGTCGATAATATAATGTACGTTCACAAGCAGTAGTATATAAAATCCGCCAAGCCCATTCGAACTAATGGGATCCCATTGTTTTAGTTTCATTTCTAAATTTACATGTAAGACTACATCCAGTTCATTGAGCTCCACAACAAAACAACGGCTAAATTTGCAGCTTGCCAATTAATATAAAATCCTGAGAAGTTGGATCGAATTTGTACCACTAAATCACGTTGATTCAAGACAAAGACAACTGTAACAGAGTTTTTTTTCTATGCGACAATTTAAACTGAATGAAAATAGTGCCTAGTGACATAAATTATGCAAATGCAAATTTAATGTAATGTAAAAAATAATGTTCAGAGTAAAACCATACTTATAGCCAGGCTATTCTTTGAACGTTCTAAATACCATGTATTGTAAACTTTCCAAACGCAACGTATTTTCAACAGTGCCACAAACCCCGTTTTTAAGCGTGTACACCACTTCATGAACCGACATGCAAATTAAAACGTTTTATAAACGTTTGAAAAACGTTCTGTATGACGAAAACATAAGTGACCTATGCAGAACCTAAGTGAAAAGTTTTCGGACATTTTGTCTTTGCTGGGAGGTTAGGCGATTAATCTTTGGGTGAATGAACCTGGGCCCAATTTCCTGAAGCTGTTTAGTAGAAAACCTTTGACTTTTTTGGTGGTGAAAACTTCAAAATCTGGTAATTTGTTAAGTAAAAAAAAGTGCATATTGCATCACATCAAAATGATCCTACCCTAATAAATTCAGGGTGTGAAATTGATTTTGGTGGTACCGGTGGCGCTGATGGCCCGATTGTAGCCGATGTGAGGTCATTACTTTTTGGTTTTTTCACATGTAACCAATTGGCCATGATATTCGTTACATGTCGGAATAGAATAATTCCAACACCATTGTTAAGCCATCTCCAGAACCTTTTTTTTATGATACTATATGCCTCAATCTATCCACTTTAAACAAATTGTCACGTGCCTATTGCATATGCTCAATTTACAAATGTACCAGTTAATTTTTTTACGAACAAGCATGTGAAATTATACGTAAAGGTGAAATCTTATTCTGGACAATATACGATCATCTAGTTAGTTGTGAAAAGGCATTTTACCTGTTCAACTCCTTTAATCCACATGTGTGCACATGTAAATCCCAATTTTACCCAGGTTTACCCAGAATGCCTTCTTGGGCCCCAAATACTCGGGTGCATTTCCCATATGGGGGCCAGTTGGACAAAATTGGGCCCCATTCGAATCCCAGTTTGCCCTATTGGGACCTATATAGTTTAGTTGTCCGTTTGGTCCCCATTGTTCCCAGTTTTGTCCGATTAGTACGCAAATGAGCCTCAATTTTTTGCTGGCAGGGGTGCTTGTAATTACATGGCCCTTTGGTCATTTAAATCATGTGTACATTATTGTACAGTTGTACTTACCTGAAGAACGTCGGGATAAGTTTGATCAGTTCAAAGAATCGCAGTCCCTTTAGTGGCCCCCATTTCTCTGGGAACTCGTAGTCCAGTGGCACTCTCCAACCAAATTCCGGCACTCCAAAATGTTCCAAGGACAACTCCATCGAGTTACCTGATTCCCAGGTCTCACTAGCCATAATGTGTGCTTGTATAATCTAAAAAGAAAAAAATGTGCACAAAACAAAACTTAAGAAATAAGAAGGAATTTGGGGTCCCCTTGAAAATTCTCCTTGTGGATAAAATAAACCTAACAAGGGATTTTTAAAGAACACTTTCTAGGAATTCGAAATAGCAAAGGCAGAAATGGGGAAAACAAAAGAAAGATAAAATATAAGTGATTCAACTGTCAACTAAAAACACTCAATATTTATTTTTAAAAAAAAGTACCTGTAGAAGGTTCAAATGTCAGTACAGTCTGGTTAAAGATCACTGACTGTGAGGTGGCAAACTCTAGCAAGGCAGATATCTCTCGTCAAGATGGAGAAAGGTGCATGTATCCCTATAAACACATACACTCTTCCTTCCTGGTCTGCTAATGGAGAGGTTTACTGGACATGCAGAGGACATGGTCTCACTCGCAGTGGACTTTGTTCAAACAGGTCAAAGTTCTGGGGCACTTTGGTTAAAAATTAACCAGGGGAATGCATTTATAATCACAGGCTAAATGGATGCTGCTTAATAAAAAAAGGCTAGGATCTAGGAAACCACTTCATTAATTTAAAAGCAACATCACAAATAAGGATGTATCAATTAATATCCTCACCACCGTTCAAATATAATACCAAGACAAATAACAAACGTACATAAATAAATCGGTGACCCTATGCAATGCAATGCTATTTATACCTGTAACAACAAAGGGCCCTTAAAGGCTAGCAGTCGGTTAACGACTGATAACGCTACCCTGTTAAAATAAGACAGTAAATAAATAAAACTAGAGGTAGTATTTGTTAAACAACAACCACAGATCTGTTTCGGATTTCCTGTTGTCAGCTAATAGTATTTGATTTTGAGCTATGACAATTTTTTTCTTGGACCTTTTCTGGAGCTGGACTAAGAGTGCAAACCTAATATACAGTCAGTCACATCGACAAAAGTGTCGAAAACTGGCTCTTGAAACAACATGTACAAAACCTATGACAAAAAAAATACAAACTTCAATTAAGAAATTGCAAGATGACGTCATCATAACGCCATTAGTCCGGAATAATTCTTGTATCAGGGTCTTTGTTGGCTGTAACTTTGAAACATCCGGATGTTACCAAAATGGTGGCTTGAAAAATTTGCAAATCAATGGGCTAAAACACATGCTGAAATACTGCACCTGTTCATGTCACGGGATTTACATTTAAACTGAATTTTTAAAATGAAATATTACTTGATATTCTTACTCTTGGGTATATTTTAAATCAAATAAAGAGCAGAAAGATACGATTTCTCTTTCGTTCTCATATAGTATTATTCAGCCGAAGTTAGTGTCTACTTACACATTATGATCGGTAAAACGTGTAGAAACCTATTTAGAAAAACTGCAGCTTAAATCTCATGTCGCGGGACCCCAGATGGTGTCATTTAGACAATTTTGTTCTGGGATACTCTCTCCATGGTGGACTACAAATGTACATAAATGGAATAAGTCAGATTGACCAGAGTGATGAAGACTGCACCTTTGAAAAACGTGTACAAAACCAATGGGGGGAAATTCAATGTCCACAAATCAAAACTCCAAATTCTTTTATCAGGGTCATTGTTGGCTGTACCTTTGATGAAGATCAAAGATCTCAAAGTTACAAAACTGGAGGTGTTTAAACGCGCTTAACGCGTACAAAGTTAATGGGCTGATATAAATATTGAAAAATCAATAATAAATCAGAGGATAACGTCATGATGACGTCATCCATTTGGAATAATTTTTATCAGGTTCATGGTTGGCTATCACTTTGATAACGATCAAATATTGCAAAGTTATCAAAATGGTGGCTTGAAAATATGTCTGAAGTCAATGGGCTAAAAACACATGAATAAAAGTGCTCCTTTAAGTTCTTGTCACGTGTTTTAACTGAATTTTGTTTTGAACTATTACTTGATATTTTGACTCTTGTTTCAAATCGAATAACAGAGCGATTGATATAATAGTGTGTAGTAGAAATACGTGAACAAACCCTATCGCGAAAAATTAAATATTCAAAATTCTAAAATTAATCTCGTGATGACGTTGTCATGACACATTTCTAGTAGGACCGTCCTCAGATATTTTTTAAAGTCTTCCCGGGCCAAGTTTGAAATCAATCAGATCTATGAAACTAAAGAAGTCACCTTCCAAGCAAAAGACGTGTACAAACCCTATGGGGAAAGTCTGAAAAAGGAAAAGAAACTAGACCTCTGTGCGTTTGTCTTATGGAAAAACACAGGGCTTTTTTAGCATTTTAGATTTTCAAACAACTGTCAAAGAAACCCAGTTTAATGAACTCAAATGAAGACTGAACTGTTCACGATATGCAAGGTTTGAGCCCAATCGGATACGTCCTTCACGAGATATAGTGCGTTGACGAGGGCATCTTTAATATCACGTGACTTTTCACAAGATGACGTCATCATCATATCCGGTCAATTTGGTCTCAAGCACTCCCCTTGTATGATATCTGTAAGGTTTGAACCTTAATCGGACATGTATTTCATGAGATATAGACTTTATCATGATGCTTCCATGTTTGTCTTGTCCCCCGTAGACCGTTGATAATAACAATTCTTATATTGATAAAAGGGAACAGACTATTACTCCTTCCAGCCTCAGTTTGGTCCTATTATTTTGAATATTAGAAAAGCAAGATGGCTGCCCCATGAAAGAGGTCTATAGTGCTTTGAGGAGTGCACCTTTAATGTGTCACGTGACATGATAATCTCATGACGTCATCATTACATGACATCAATTTTCATCTATAACAGTTCCCTTTAAAATACCTGCCAAGTTTCAATTTAATTGTACGTGCACTTCAGGAGATATAGCATTTTAAAGAATGCACCTTTAATGTCACGTGACTCGTCGACTGATGACATTGTCATCACTTCAGTGAGGTCAACCTCTGTTTATAAATCGTCCCGTCCTAACTATCCGCTGCACGGTTTCAACCCAATCAGACATTTACAGACAAAATACAAATACAAAACATTATTGTTATCGCGGATAGAGCGCAGCTTAGAGATTGCAAACATTTCTTCTTTTGGCGTCCCATACCATACGACCTGCTCTCTGCACCACCATGTGCTTGGCAATTTTTCAACTCCTGCGCATATGCCCTACGCACTGTGCGCCACCTATGTGACAGGCAAATCTACACATTTTTTAGCCAATGCACAGTATTCAAATGGGATTTTCAAATTCACAAATAATTTAAGGGGGTTTTCGTTGTGGGTGTATCATCTGTGTGAAGAAGTTCATCACTTATACACTTCATGCAGTTGACTTCAATGTTTTTGTTATTATACACAGCTTCCACTGTATTTCTTAATAGCGCCCTCTTTTGACTGGTAATCTTTGAACCATGCTCTATACTCGTCCATAGACAATAGATTTCTCACAGTGAATTTGCACGTCATTTTCCCACATTTTCAGGGCACAAATCTCCCTATCGTTCCTTGCTAACTGTATATAGCGCCCAGTGAAGCATTGCATGTAAGTTTATTCCATTTTTATCCTTTATCAAGAGGTATTTCAAGTAGTTTAGATGGCTTTACTTTGTTTACACATGTACATACCCACATCTTCACATGTTAAGGATGCAACAGTATATGGACATACCAAGCGATCCACATGTTCATGGAATGGCAATTTTTTTACGCTTATAGGCCTGTTAAATAGACATTTCCATAGGTCCACATGTGCATTAAGGGCTATGTGAGATCAGTATTTACATGTACATGTACTACTTTGACTAGTTATGTACCATGAATCTCAGTGTATTTTGGGACTAGAGACTCATACATGTGTCTTTTTTGTGTAGTATTCATAGCTTGAAGTGTTCATAGCTTGTCGTGTTGATAGCTTGTAGTGTTTTCTTGTTTGATACGCAATTTTACTCCATGTCAATGACATCATCATCCAGTGTGACCAAGTAAAACACCAGAGGTACATGCGGAGCTATTTCCTGACTATATATTATTTCGTCAGTGGGAGTTTGGCTGGCTGCCAAATTTTGATTAGAAACATCTTAAGGAGGGCAGTACAGTTTTAGCTATTATCTAACAAATAATTAACGCTTCAATCTTTAACAGATGATTCTTTACCGAATTTTGAAGAAATCATAACTTCCGGTATGATGACGTCATCGGCCCCATATTTCAAACAAGTTAACTGGATGAAGATCATCGCTTACATCAATTCCCAGGCGATTCAGACGAACTCCGCCACAGACATCTATTCAAAATTCATTTTTCAGAATTTTTAGCCTGTCGTTAGAGGTCGCTTGACAATTACGTGACGTCATCAGTATATGACTTGAAGAATACTGTGCCCCAACAGACTAACACTGTTGAAAACAACTTGATACCTATTACCCTTTTTAAACAATAAGCCCACTTCTGGTTTCTACCAGAAGGAAGGGTCACGTGATTGGACCCACACAAGATGAATCGAAGACCCAATTTTACTCTGGCACTTGCTGCAAACATAGTTTTGTTGATTTTATATGGATTTTTACAACATTAACATGAAATTTAAATACTCAAAAATTGAATAATAAATCACTTGATGACGTCATCATAACGTAATCATTTTGGTATTATCTTTGCTTCCAGGTTTTTGCTTAGTATAACTTTGATGATGATCGACGATTGCTAAGTTACTAAAATGGCGCCTCGAAAACGTGTACAGTCAATGGGCTGAACTAAATATTAAAAAATCTATGAGAAATCACTTGATGACGTAATGTTTCTAGGACCATCTTTGCATAAGGGTTCTACAAGTACAAGTTTGATGAAGATCCGACGTTGCAAAAGCACTAAAGTCGTGTACAGAAAAACATGCACAAAACAAAGGGGCCTTTGAGCAGAAGAGGAGGAAGAAGGAAGAAAACTATAGGTTTTGTCTGTCTTAAGGACAGAGCAAAGGGCATTTTTGCATTTCCTTTTTTTATAAAGA